CCGGGGCCGAATAATATAAGAGCCAGGGCGTATGATTTTTCAACACTATTTTTTAGAGAACAAAATAAGTGGTACTCAAAATATGACACGCTCGGTTTCCATACAATTTGGAGTAGGAACATGCGCCACTTGTCTAAGCCCACAGAACTCTCATATGGACAGGATTGTAAATGAAGTATGGACCAAAATGTTTACCAAGTGGACCTATCATTTTAGAATTTTATTTCAAAAGAAATTGAAAATTTGTTCAATGTACGTATTGTAAGGAACTTTTACAGTTTTTAGTTATGATAGATTAATAGATTTAGTTTCTTTAAAGTATTTTCATTTCTTTTAATTGTTAACTTTAGTGAATTTCTTGTGTAGTAGTATATTACTAATATCATACTAATTATTAGAATAATAGGTCCTAGTTGAAATTATTCAATTGACTTTGAATGCGATCATTGATTAATTAATTGGATTAATTCAGTATTAGGATAGAATATAGTTAATGATGTATAATATGATAATATAGGTCCATAAAGAAAATCCCTTTATTATAAAAAAAGGAAACGGGTTCGATTCCCTGTAAGATTAAAAAAATAAATAAATGAATAATAATATTATACTTTGAAAATTTACCCAACTACGGAAAAGATGGTGTAAAGATTTATCATTAATGTTTTCTTGTATGTTAATTTACCCAACTATAGAAAAGATAGTGTAAGGATTTATCATAAATGTTTGCTTGAATATTAACTTACCCGACTGAAGAAAAATGGTGTAAAGAATTTTACTAATATTTTCTTGATTGTTCTATGTACTAATACGATACATGATGCGAACTTCCCGAGAGAGAGGAGAACGAACTCTACCAATTCGCGTCGTTTTCGTTTCAATTTGGTCGCGTCGCCTTCGTCATTTTAAATCATCACTTGTAGTAGATCGACTTGGGGGAACCCTTAGTATTCCATGGGAATTGGGTTTAATCCTGTTTGATGCTGGATGTCCTTACCCAAAATTTCTGATACGTTTGCGCATCATGGATGTCTAATAAAGTACAAGACAATAAGGTGGTGGACCACGTCTGTATCTTTATTGAAGATGTACGAAGGTAACCATTAATTATTGATTCTTTTAGTTTCTCAAATCCAGTTAGTATTTACAAATCTTAATAGTTCGAATTTCGTTTCGTACATCTATATAGTACGGAAAGTAATGAAGTTTCAAAGTTTATATAGATTTCCTTGATATTTAATGGTTCAATAAATGGGATAGGGTAAAGTTTTGCTGATAGATGGGATAAAAAAATATAGCTTGGGTAATTTAAGGAATAGCTAGGGATAGTTTTGTTTATTGTTTTTGCCGACTAATATCGATGTTGAGTAAAATTAAGGTTAGGGGGGATATGTACGGGTGATTTTGTTCCCTTAAAGTTTTTTTTGCAAGAAGTTTCGCAAACTTATTGTGAGGGCTAGTTTGTAGTAAAGGCCGCCTCCCGGTTGTATTGATGTTACGCAGGCAGGGATTTTTAGATAGGACTGTCGAACTCTCTCGATGTAGTAAATAAAAAATAGGGGTTGATGGTAGAAGGGTGAAAATTTAGGATTGTATGTATTTTTGTATGATGTATCATAAAAATATAAATAAAAAATATCAAAAAAAAATAAGGGTGGACCCTAAACATTTAGGAGGATGAAACATAGATGTTGTCCGATTCTCAGACCTACTGAATATGCATATAAAATTTCGCGTTTCGAAGTAGTTCAATTACGCACACCGTGACAAGATGATTGTTTTTTTTGTATTGAATAGGCTCCAAAACTACTGGACCTATTTGAAAAAATATATTTATTTAGAATCCTACATTATTCCTAATGACTATAGGCTATGCATATAAAATTTCGCGTTTCTCGACATTCATATGTGCTTGTAACAGCCTAAACTGAATAAATGATTTTGATTGATTGATTGATTGATATGGTCATTAGTATAGGGTATTTCCCAAAAAATTAGTGTTCCGTACGAAAACTTCGATAATGACCCAACGTGTGAAAAAAATACCAAAAAATTACCTTTTAACGCGTACGCTGCGGAAGCCATTGGCAATAGAGCAATATTGATATACCGAAGTTTTATAGAAGACATCAATTATCAATCATCTGAAAAAAAGAACACGATATCATATGTCTAATTATTACAGTTACATCACAACTTGAGGTCTCCTGCGGTTTCACCCGCGTTAATTTGAGGAAAAAGGTTATATTGAGTCAAACTTAAAAATGGACATTTGATATCGCGGACTTTTATATAGAACTTTTAAACTGGATAATTCTGTAAAACATGATTTTCCTCTTAGTTAAACCGTCAACCCAGCGCACGCAACAGAAGCTCACAAATGGAATATTTTTTCCCGATTTTCTATCATTTTTAATCGATGCTCCGCTCCTACTGGTTGTAGCGTAATATTATATAGCCTTCCTCGATAAATGGACAACCCAAAACAAACAGATTTTTTCAAATCGGGCCAGTATTTCCTGAGATTAGCGCGTTCAACCAAAAAGTTCATAAATACAAGCCTGAGAACAAAAACTATAGTCTACACTACAACTGTACACCGACGCGAAGCGAGGGTGGACCACTATCTATACATCTATACTTACATATAAATAAAATTGGAGTGTCTGTTTGTAATATTGAAATAACCGCTTTTTACTACATGCATATGAATATACTATATACGGTACATACACCAAAATAACATTTTTTACATTTTTTGTCTGTCTGTTTGTTACGGCTAATCTCTGAAATGGCTGGACCGATTTTGACGAGACTTTTATCGGCAGGTAGCTGATGTAATAAGGAGTAACTTAGGCTACTTCTATTTTAGAAAAAATCTTTTATTTTAGAAAAAAAAAACTAAAAGTAAACGCGGACGAAGTTGCGGGCGGCCGCTAGTCTGTAATAAGGTATTGTAAAATATCATATTAAAAAGATAATGTATTATAGGGTATTATATCGAAAGAGTAACAAGACACAAGAGCCTCTCTAAACGTAGGCAGTTGAATTTTTTGTCAAATTTTTTAACCTATTTCTATATCCTCTTTATTATAGCTCAATCTGCTCTTTTCTGTAGGTCAATCTGGTCAATCAATATTATAGCTCAATCTGCTGTTTTCTGTAGGCAATTATTAAAGTGACTGCGTCTTTTATTACAAAAAAGCCGATTATGTCTAGTTGGTGAAAATATAAAAGTGGTTTAATTTAAGTTTCATTAGACACACATAAAAATCTGGCGTGTCCAGATGACGAAATAATTAGCGATGAATACTAATTTTTGGTTTCACCAACAGAAACACACGTGACCTTGTCAAGTTGGTGAATAGCCTACTTCACCTGGGTTAGTAATTCACCTTGAGTGCATTTTTGTAATTTATTATGCACCTGCAGTGCTGTTCTGTAAGAACAAACTCACTTTTCACCAAGGAATTCGCTAGTGTGATATGAAATTTATTAAAAACTAGTGACCCGCCCTCGTTTCGCTTCGGTTTAGAGCTGTAGTGTAGACTATATAGTTTTTTTTCTCCACCTTTTAAACCTTCCCTAGACCTCCACGAACATTTCAAGACCAAGATAAGATAAATCCGTTTAGCCGTTCTCGAGTTTTAGCGAGACTAACAAACAGCAATTGATTTTTATAGATATAGATTGGAATTCTCATTTAAATCACAGCATGGATTCCGTGAAAAGTGAGTTTGTTCTTACAGAATAGCACTCATCATCATCATCATCAGCCTGTTAATGTCCCCACTGCTGGGGCACAGGCCTTCCCTATGGATGGAATAGGGAGATTGGGCCATGACCCACCAAGCGGGCCCAGTGGGGATTGGCGGGTGCTAACGACTGCAGATGCAACCGGGACCAACGGCTTAAAGTGCCTTCCGAAGCACGGAGGAACTAGAGATAGAAATTTTTGGTCACCCATCCAATGTTCCCCACTACGAAAGTTGCTTAACTACAACGATCGCAGCCGAACGCGCTAATCACCTGCGCCATCGAGCTCCTCTAGAATAGCACTGCTGGATGCTCACTAAACCTTCGCGCCTAATTCACCAGGATGAGTACTTATTACTTTTTACTAACTCAAATAGTACGGAAGCAAAGAAAGTGACATTGGCTTCTTGAATATAGAGATTTCATGATTTATAATTATAAATAAAGTAAGTATGAATTACATAAAATTATTGTTAAACACTACTGTTGCTGTATAATCGAGATCTATTAATAGAAGAGATTTGTGTACTAATCGGGCTTCAAGAGATTTTTGATAGTTTGCCAAAACCTAATATCTGAGTTTTTCTCTTTTGTATGTAGGTACGTTTGCAAATGTCTTATAAACATATAGTTTATATTAAGTAAATAAGCTTTAAATCAATTATTTTTTAAAGATTTATTAAACAACACAGCTTACTTAATTATACATAAATATCACATAAGACTTGACAAAACAAACAAACAAAATCTTTTAGGGACAAACTCTACAGAATAACGGTTTATGATGAGTACTCACAAATGTTAGATACTTACTTATTTATTATCAATAGCAACTCGAAATACCTATTGAAAACGATTTATAATAATTCTAATTAAAACAAGTTGAAGAATATAGTTCATATGGATGGAGCTAACTTAAAATAAACTACCTTAAGAGACTTATGTTAGATGCCATTATTTTATACAATCTCTCACATTAATTAGTAACACACTTATCAAACTTAGCAGGACGCAATTATTTTTCCCTTAAAATAAATTGCAATAGGTAATTATAATTTCACAATGAATATAGCCATAAAGTTATTAAAAACTCAGATCTTAAACAATTCTCATTTGAAACAACTACAAAACCAAAATATGAAAATACTTAAACGGAATCAGCATAAACATTTATGCGTGATACTAATATAATACAAATGCAGTGATAGCAAACAGTATTGTGAAAGTAGCTATATTACGAGCTGTTAGTTAGGTTTGAGCGACTGCGTCGCGTAACTCTGTAACAGACCACATGATACATGTTTTCTCATACTTTGTGTAGGCGTAAGCCTTATCACAAAACATTCCATGCCGGGTGTAACTGCAATTTCCTTTTCCTTCACATCCAGCGCATTCACCACTGTACTGTTTGTGGTAGTGGTGGTGACGGTCACTGACGATTTCATCGTACCATCTGATGATAGTGTGCCATTCGGCAGCATAATGGCCGGTGCGGTAATGTTAGTCTGCGTTGCGTTGACAGGAACTAAAGTGCTGTTAGGTAACATTTGGTAAAGAGTCGTCGGCGGCGCAGAAGGACTTAGTGAATTGCCTGTATTGTTGACTACTGTGACATTTGTCACAGTTGTTGTGACAATTGTAGAGTTTGTGCCAGAGGGTTGACCCCTCGACGCCTTTTCCTTTCCCTTCATATCCAGCGCATTCACCACCGTACTGTTTGTGGTAGTGGTGGTGACGGTCACTGACGATTTCATCGTACCATCTGATGATAGTGTGCCATTCGGCAGCATAGTGGCCGGTGCGGTAATGTTAGTCTGCGTTGCGTTGACAGGAACTAAAGTGCCGTTAGGTAACATTTGGTAAAGAGTCGTCGGCGGCGGCGTAGTCGGACTTAGTGAATTGCCTGTGTTGTTGACTACTGTGACATTTGTCACAGTAGTTGTTGTTGTGACAATTGTAGAGTTTGTGCCAGAGGGTTGACGCTTCGACGCCTTTGCTTTCTTTGCGAATATGAAGCTCGTTATCAGTTGACAATCGATTTTAGTTTCCTCGTAATAGCCGTTGGACTTCTTGATGGCAAACTTACATATTTCACCAGGCTGTGACTTGTAGTTAGAATGGGTGCGGCTGCCTGCTAAGTTGCCAAGATTGAGAAGTGCTAGGCCAGCCAGCAATGTGCCGTATTTACTTCCAGAATCCTTATATTTGTATACGTAAGTCGGGGGCGTGCCGTGATAGACTGGATACGACTCCGCAGGTTGTCCAGGCAGTGCAAAAATTATTTGACGTGGTGGATCATAGTGAAAATGATTATGAATAGTTGTATGATAGCTAACATGACTAGGTTTAGTTGTATGATGACTAGGTTTAGTTGTATGATGACTAGGTTTAGTTGTATGATGACTAGGTTTAGTTGTATAACGGCTAACATGACTAGGTTTAGTTGTATAATGGCTAACTCGACTAGGTGTAGTTGTATGATGGCTAACATTACTAGGTTTAGTTGTATGACGCCTAACATGACTAGGTTTAGTTCTATGACGCCTAACATGACTAGGTTTAGTTGTAAGACGGCTAACATGACTAGGTTTAGTTGTATGACGGCTAACATGACTAGGGTTACCGTGACCTGATCCTGACAGTCTACTACCGGATGGAGGGTATGATGGCTTTGCTCCAGATGGCGGATACCCACTGCCGCCAGACTTTGGATAACTGTGCCTTCCTGATCCAGATAATCCATCGGATGATGGATATCCATGGCTTCCTCCTGATCCGGATAATCCACCGGATGATGGGTATCCATGACTGCCACCTGATGATGGGTATCCGTGACTACCACCTGATGACGGATATTCATGGCTGCCTGAGCCCGACAATTCATGTGACGATGGATAACTGTGCGATTCGTCACTTTTACCAAAACCGCCACCTCTGCTGCCTCCACCAAATTCGCCACAAGTTATTGGTTCTAAAACTGATAGCACTAGTAGTGCGCAAAAAAGCGCACTCAAGTATTTAAGCATGATTATTGAATTATTCACAACACACAGAACACATTAATACGTCCGCTCTAAACACTCTCGCGCATAAAACTGAAGCTAGCTACGTTACGATCGAAAGGCCCCCGCCACGTTATATTTTTAAAATTGCCATACTATTAAAAGAAATCACCACTTTTTATTATTTATAGGTAGTAAGTAGGTAGGTTTTTTTTTTTGATAATTACAGAATTTAAAGTACTGAAGATACATTGATTAGTTCATTGACAGTTAACATGAAATTTGGCAACTTGTTAGTTATCGCTAAACAGCCTTTGAGAAACCAGTCCCCGTAGCATGAGTACCTCAATTTACGTTATATCACGTTTTTTATCGCGTCTAACTGTCAAACTCGATAGTAATTTGACACTTGAGCGTGAGAAAAACGAGTATTATATCATATCGCAGTGCTCATGCAAGGCAGGAGCAGGTGTAAGTTAGTTAATGTTATAAAAATATAAGGGCAATAACATTACAAAGTTATTTTTATAAATGTATACTTCAATGCTTTATTCAAAGAAGTCCCAGCTGCCCTCAGAAAAATACCGTTGAGCAAGCTGCTTGACCACAAAGAGCAGCAAGTGCTTAGCACAATTCTTTGAATGCATCGTAAATAAATAAAAAAAAAATACATAGACAAAACGGAAAATTTAAATACTACAATGCAATGGTGACATTACTTTCTTAATATTTTCCACTAAATGCTGGATTATTCAAAATATGGCAACTCCCAATGCAGGCAAACAATCGAAAGAATTTTTACCTGTACGATTGACATTGTCTCCGAGGTTGCTGGAAGGGGAAAAACAACCGACACGACGTCACAATCATAATGCACACTTCTTGGAAAGTAATTAAACCAAGATGAATAACCAGAATTGAATCATTGATGGGCTAGTTAACGAATTTCATAACAATAGTTGTCTCGCTCCTACGCCCAATGGTAGATAAGCTACCAAGAAATAAACAGCTGTCAAACAAACTTGGGCATTGTAAATAACAGAATGCTAAATAGGCTAGACGTGTATATTTATTGACGATTATGTAGCTTTATTTTTTTTTTGAACAATGACCTTGTCTTAATTTTTATCTCGCGCTATTTTGCGGAGTTTATTTTATCTACCAACTCTTTATCGAACGATTATTTTGTTAAAGAGATTACCTACGTCATCTGGACTGAACAGTAGAAAAAAAGATTTTTTTCGCGACTGCCAAAGAGTATAATGTTCTCGGTGTTCATGTTTGTATGTATCATGTAGGTGCCTTCCTTTGTTCCACCATCCTGCTAATAATTAAAAATGTAAAAATTTGTAGGTATCTTTGTTTCTCAATCACGCAAAAACTTCAGAACGGATTTGGATGAAATATGGTTATCATAAAAGTAAAGTAGGTACAAGCGACAATGATGTTTCTATTCAATAAGCATTAGCTAATTGGAAACTATTTAAAACCAAATATAAATAACAAAGTTGATTAACATAAAAAAGGTTATTAGGAGTGGGCGATACAAATCGTTTAACTATAGATATTGAAACGTATATTTCATTAATATCGTTAAATCCGATATGAATGCGTTCTAAAACTATATGTTTTGGCAAAACACTGTACAGCATCAGGAACGTTCAATACGCGTTGATATTGATACTACTGTATTGTATGTAAATTGTTTAAATATATCGAACCGTATCGCAATGGAATAAGAGTGCAACCAATGCCAGGGGAGAGTAGAGGGAGAGCGTGTGATGAGATGAGTGAGTGTGAAATTATTACGATATTTACGTTACTTACGAAGCAACATGGATGCAACGCATTTTTCACTTTAATAAATTAATATTAAATCATCGTAATGAAATAGTTTATAAACTTTTGTTAATATTTTTGTTGATAAAAACCTTACCCTTATTTCTTATGGAATAATGGAGAGTTTTGTTTGACATGATTTAATTTTTACTCTCGTTCACCTTTGTCCTTGAACCCGCAAACGAAAATATGGAGCGGATTGTTTTTTTTTATTTCGTAAATAGATTCCACCGTATACGCAAGTGCATTACTGCATTAGCGTATTATTTCGTATTGTAGGTGTATTATTTGTTAATTTATTATTATATCATATTTATTATTAAATTTATTAATTATGTTTGTAGGTAGGTAGGTAATTATTGGTCGTCGTCAAGTAAGCACGTTTACGATTATTTAATAAACCTATGTACTTTTTAAATATCTTTGTATCATTTTATTTCAAGATGATAGGGGAGAAATCCATGCTATGTCTCAACAAACTGTGAGTGGCATTTGTGCCAGAGTAGACCGCGCGATTGCTCGCCACTCTGATACATACATAAAAATGCCAGAGTTCAATTTTCTTCGCAAAAATAACACGAAATAGTAAAAACCTCTGCACGAAACAAGCAATATTGACAAACAAATATCGTTGACAATACATTTTTTTGTGGATACCAGTGGTTTTGGCATTTATATCTATGGATTCATCAGAACAACAACATAACAACGCTAAAGTGTCTTATAACGAGAACATAGCTATAAAGGGTTTATTGAACGTTTATGAATAGAGAATTTTATAAAAGGTTTATTAGTACTAATGAGCATTTTAACTAAATATTGGTTTAAACCTATATTAGAGGATTTTTATGAATAAGGCTGTTAGACTAGACGTTATATTCATGTAACTTTTATTGTTTTTGCAGTGCAGGCCAAATGGCTCGCAGATGGGAGTTTTTTTCCATCTTACTTGACACTTATTGTTATATTTAGGCAAATTCACTGAATAACTGAATATATTATTATTTATTTGTTATTACTAACATTATTGTTAATTTTCATTAAAATCCATTTACTATTTTTGAGTCAAAGAGTAACAAAGATCCAAACAAACGTAAGATTGAAATTAAAAGCGCAAGTGGTTGATACGCAACTTTAAATCGTTGTAAATCCTAATCATTTATATAAAATAAAAAATGATGTAAGGAACCTACATAAATTTTTTGATTATCTAGATAATAATACCTCACTCTACATATTTCGTCAAATTGTTTTTTTACTTTGTCACAATATGGCTCCTAATTGTTCCAATATTGAATTTTAATTACTATCCTATCTTTTGTGTGACTCGCATCATTAAGACGAATCGATTGGTGTATGAATCATCAAAATATAATTCTCGGTAGATAGTGGCACTAAAACGAATTACAAACAATTATTAACATATTTTACAAAGAATTTAATAGAATAGAAAAAGCTAGGTAGCGATTAAGGAGCAAGAAATAAACTGTAATAAACATATCAGACGATATACATTAAATAAATACAACAACAACATCATATACATAATATTGCTATTCAAAATTAGTTAATTGAAGCTTTTGTACTAAGAAAACCAGTAAAAACTACGACCCCAAGACCATTACCGTTCGGCTATCTGTCTCATATAGTAAATGATAAAATCATGGATACACCTATCTTGTGTCAAATACTGTACTTCCGTTTCATCGAATTTTAAGTCACAACGATACTAAAGAAGTTTACACTTCAAAAAAAAATATGTCGAATTGATTTTGAGTTTAAGACGCAGTTTGACTTTGATTTAGGTATTTTAGTTGAGATACGCAGATTGATAATAATGAGTTTTCTAATTTCCGGTATAGAAAATAAAGACTCCTGCTCAATACATTGTGGTAACTACAGGTAACTACGGAACCCTACAGTGCGCGTGGCACGACACGCACTTGGCCTGTTTTTTTCCTGAATCAAATCAAAACTACATCAATAATTACACATCATGATATTATAAGTAAAACTGTATTTCTCTGATACTGATAAAATAACGTTAGTGTTACCGGACAAAGTCCCGACTATAGCATAAAAGTCCGGACATGTCCGGACTAATCCGGACGTATGGTAACCCTAATCGCGGTGCTCATGCTAGGGGGGCAGGTAGGCGTTAGATAACGCGTAGTAGGTATTTATCCATGTTTCTAAGGGAGTGATGTGTTGATTACTACAAAAAAAAGTTAATGTATAATAATTTATTTTATAACACATTTGCTCGTAAAGCGTCTCTCATTGCACCAATTTCAATATCATAATCTATCACATTACATACGCGTGCGGTAATGTAAAGTAAAACGCACGGCTTATTATGTTCCGTCTAAAAACGAACGATACTTTTTTAAATCTTAGCAAAGAGTTTTTATGTCAGAAAGGTAGCCAACATTTTCTTAATAAAATTAACTTTGTGAGATAAAATATAATATATAAACATATAATTCTTTAATTTGATTCATTTTGACAATAAATTACAACCATGTATCGGTAACAAATTCACAAAAATATTAATTTACTTTATTAGTAACACTGGCTGTTTTTTGTTCCTTTGCTTAAAAAAGCGTTGATGCGCGATTAGCGATGCATCGCTAATCTGTGAAAAAGTTATTTTTTTTTCGCTGTATTGTTTTTATTTGAAAATATTGTCAAGTAGTAACGAATTAATATTGACTGGACACCGCTGGATTGACTAAATGGGTTTCTGAAAATATTTACAATAGTAGGTAATGATTTTGGAATAGTCGATGGAGTCCAGATGGTTGACCCTGACAATCATTGCGGAATGGCGGAAATGTGGGAATTATGGTGTGATAACATAACTTGTATAGACTGGTAAACACTATACCCTGTCTGCGCGTCGCGCTTCGCTTTCTTGCATTGCGCAGTCGGGTAAAAAGGAAAAATCTGCTTCAACGGAGTTCTTGCACATTGCAGCTATACAATGCTCCATGTAAGGAATTTTAAGCAAACTATTTTAAAGGTTAGATAATTTAAAATACGCATGCTTATATGCTAATTTTGCTCCAAAAGCATTGCCGTAATCGTATAAAAAAATGCTTAATTTCTGGATAGATGGTCGCACTAAAACATTTATTTATATATTTTACAAAGAATAGAAAAAGCTATGTAGCGATTAAGGAGCA